GCCTATAAGGACCGTGGGCCTATAAGGACCGTGGGCCTATAAGGACCGTGGGCCTATAAGGACCGTGGGCCTATAAGGACCGTGGGCCTATAAGGACTGTGGGCCTATAAGGACCGTGGGCCTATAAGGACCGTGGRCCTATAAGGACCGTGGGCCTATAAGGACCGTGGGCCTATAAGGACCGTGGGCCTATAAGGACCGTGGGCCTATAAGGACCGTGGGCCTATAAGGACCGTGGGCCTATAAGTAACACTAAGAGCCGTCCGTTAACGGATACGGGGACCGGAGTTCTCATAATAAAAATATTTACTTACGTAATTGTTGTTAACTTCTCGCGTAGTTATCGTTAAGTCCAAAGGCGTCCCTTAAGATGTCCAAACGGTAGGTTCGCGATGACAAAGTAAACACACACACAACGTAATATGCAAATACTTTTTATTAATTCACTTTAAAGTAATACACAAAGTATGACTACAAGTGGAGAACTGATTTTGGTGTTTGAGAGACACCTCTATTTATACTAAAGTGTACGTGAGGAAAAAGTGTGTCACATTGAGTCAGGTTTTAATCACTATTAAAACTAGGAGTTTACTATTTACTTTTCTATATAACATTTCAGTGCATTATTTTAACACTGCAATATTGAATAAAAACAAAATAAAACTCTGTTAAAAACAAGGTGTTTACCTTTAAATTTTCAGTATAACATTTTAGTGTTTTTATAAATTTTTAACAAATAAAATTAAGGATAATTTTTGCAATAATTTTTCAGAGAAAAATAAAACAAAAATTCATTACAATATTATTAGTGAATACAACCTTGGCTTCAATATAAATAATATGAAATTATAACAAACAAAATTTCATTATTTTAATACACATATGTAAATGTTTATTAATTATAAAGTATCGCTTATTTTGTTTGTTATTCATGTGTTGTTTAATATAAGGAAAAATTTTGCAAAAAATCTGTTTTGTTTTTAACTGCATTTTGTATAATAAATTTTGACCCACTATTGCATTATAATAATATTTTTTAAATAATTGTCAATAAAAATCATAATAAGTATTATTTTACTTACAATTCAAATTAATTTTTGATATTTGAAATATTATTTATTTTTTTTTACAAATATAATAACAGAAAATATCTAATAATTTATTTATTTTAAACAAAAAAAAAGTTTTCTAATAAGTATTATCTAAAAAGTTTTTTTTTTAAAAAATTAATTAATTAATTAGTATTTTATTAAACATTTTAAATTGACTATAAATATTGTTTACCAGTTGAGAATGCTATAAATAAACATTTAATAGCATAAATCGATTTCATAAATAATAATTAGTTGCCTATTAAAAACATATATATGTTTATATTTAGATTCCGTCCCGTTAGGCGATGCCTACCACTTGCCGTCGAGAGATTGTAAAAAAAATCAATGCCTTTATTGGTAGACAACGGGAACATCGGGTTTCTCGGGGTAGTCGTCTAAATCGGTAGCGTTTGGATAGTTTAGCTAACGTTAGCTTTGACTCTAACAATGCAAATCGCATATAAAAATACAATTACTGGGGACCCGAACCAAACGGCAGTGGTATGTATAGTGGGTTTGATTAAGGTGTCGATTGGCGGGCATAAACCGGTCGGGATTGAACTGTAAGGGTTCGGGGTATAATAGTCAATATAATATTATTTGCACAAATCATGCTTTTTGAATTTTTAAAAAAAATTTTTTTATATATATTTGTTGAAAATTCTTGTTACTTTACAACTGATACGTTTGTTACCATTACTCTATTCGGTAACATCACCTAAACGTCATCTAACTAAGCGACCCCATCCCTGAAATATTAATTTATTTAACCCCGGATAATATAGTACCTGTTTTTTTGCTTGATAGTGGTTTATGAGTCTATTCGATTGGCCATGAATGAAATCCCCCCATACACCAATTTTCTACATTTTAAAATTCACCTATACTTTATATATTTATGGTATTTGTCCAATTAGCGATTTTTTGCCATTTACAATTTTTATATTGCAAATTGAAAAGGTATAATACTTGAAATTAAAGTTTATATTTATTGTAATATTAAACCTAAAACTAATTTACTAGTATTTTTCTTATTATTTATACTTTTTTAAATTTATTTTAATTCAATAATTTTTTTTATAGAAAAACAGTTCCACAATTCCACAATACTAATGGGGGCCCGCACGAATTATTATGATATTAAATATAAAAATACATACATGTAGAGATATACAATGAGCCGCTGTTAATACAGTTTTACAGTCCAATATTCTCTCCCCCCCCATACACCAATTTTCTACATTTTTAAAAAATCACCATATATGGTATTTGTCCAATAAGCGATTTTTGGCCATTTAAAATTTTTATATTTTAAATTCAAAAGGTATAATTTAACTTGAAATTAAAGCAAAAATTATAAAAACTAATTGTACTATTTTTTATTTACTATTTGTTATAATTTAACAATTTATAAGTTTATAAGTTTATATTTATAACAATATTAAACCTAAAACTAATTTATTAGTATTTTTCTTATTATTTATATTTTTTTTTAAATTTCTTTTAATTCAATTTTTTTTCTGTATAGACAATTATTTCTTACAGTTTTATTGTATATAATTTATAATTTTTAGTAAATATATTTTATAACTATAATTATAATATATTTAACATTTATTATTAACATTACAAAAACTGAATTATTAGTTTTATAAATAAACACTTGATTATTCGGTTGATAAAACGTTTGGCCACTACCGAACCGGCCAGAACCCTATACGGCCGACTACTATATAGTTTATAACTGTCCAATAATAATTTTAGATACCTGACCCGTACAAACCGATTTAAGTAATTGTTGTCTATGGATGACAAATAGACAATACCGTTTATAACATTGATACCGGCAATACTAGACTAGTAGGTAATGTGCACTGGTAGTTGATTATCTAATTGATGATTGATGACCATACTGTCCATGTTGTGTACCGTATAGTAGTAATATTTTGTTGTATATATTAATCGGAACAGGTATTCTTTGCGCGTAAAATAAAAGTGTTTAAATTCATTTCATTAAAAAAGTTAATGAAATTTAATAAATTGTAAAATTGTCATTTAAATCTATAACATCTCTTTAATAACTGACCAAATTTTGATTATTTTCGGTAAACCATTTCATCTGATTTTGAACCGAAAAAGACTTTTTGACTCCTTCCAGATTTTCAATTTTTTCACTATCATAGAAGTGTTTTTTTTATTCTAATAAAATATAATCTGACAAAGCAATATATGGTAAATATAATGATTTATCAATGGTTTTAATAAATCCTATAAATTTATTATAATTCAATTGTATAAAACCTTTTGGTATATTTTCACTTAAGTGGCCTATAGTTAAGAAGTGAAAATATTTAGTACTTAAATTAATGGCACATATCTTCAGCGAATTAAGTCCAAATGTCTTATAATGGTTCATAAATCAATACCCAATATCTATCTCATATTTTATCATCAAAAGTCTGGATATAACTTCAATAAATCCTTCAAAATTTTAGTATTAAAATTAGGTAGTTTTTCTGACTATTTTCTGTCTTTTACATTAACCTTTACTTCTTTCCATCATTTTTTATTTGTCAAATTAATGCTTACATTTAGTCTTCCATAAGAAGCCTTACTAATATTTTTAGCCTCCATTATTGCATTAATTAAGCAACGATATAGGTATTTTTGAGCATATGTGAAAATGGTGTCATGTGACATTAAGATATGTAACGGCTTTATTAATAACTTTATTCTAAATGTTTAATAACATAATTAAAATACAATAATGTAAGTATTCAATTTTAAAAAAATTAAAATTTTAATCACTACATAGAACTCACAAAAACAAAGTAAAATATCATTATTTTTGAAACGCAAAGAATACCTGCTTCAATCGATATAAGCGTTTAATTTTATTTGGTTATTAATAGTTAACTATTTTGTATATTATTTTTTATTTTAAATTAATTATTATATTATTTTTTAAAAAAAATTGTATATAAAAATAATAGTAAAATACTTTATATTTTAATTATTATTTTATTTTATTATATCAATAATTATAATTAAAATATTAAAATTGTTTTTAAAATTTTTAATATACATTAATATTCATTAAAATATTTTAATAATCATAATCATAATAATGGTTTTACACAAAAAATTTTTTTTTTTGCAATTCATTTTGTATTATTATTGTTTTATTTAATTATATTTTATATATCAATATATATATTTTATTGAAAACTAATACTAATTGTAATATAATTATAAAAAAAAATTAAATATAACATTCAGCTATATCTACTAAAAAAATAATTTTAAAAAAATTGCAAATTAGAAAATAATTTTTTTTTATTAATTATTATTTAGCGTTTTTATTTTAATCTCATATTTTAGCGTAAAACTCATTTTGTTTAAGATAAAGTACATTGATGATTAGATTTTATTTTTATTTTAAAATTAATTAACTTTATATATATATATATATTTATAATCAATGTACTTTATCTCTAGTTAAGTACAATAATTTTTATTAATTAAAAATAGAAATTAATTAATAATTATAAAATTTAATTTAAAAATCTATTCAAAAAATAAATATATTTATATTAATTTATTAAATTTATCATTTATATCAATAAATAGTTATTTTTCAATATAAAAACATAAAATTTTTTGCTAACAACTATTTAAACTAAGTTTATTTAAAAATAAATGTTAATAATAATTATAGTTTTTAATTATATATATATTTATATAATAAATAAATAGACGTTTAAAATATATGAATTAATAATTAATATTAAAAGATATTATTTGTGAATTTTTAAAAATTTAATATCATTAATAATAATTAATAATAACAACTATAATAATGTCTATATTATCAACAATAACCGATTATTTAGGACCCATTCAATTGACAATTATTACAACAATTGTTTCAATGCTAATCTATCATTATTTGTAAGTAAAAAAAATATTATTTATTTTTTTAAATTAAAAAATAGTATTAAAAAACTAATTGCTTAAATCATACTGTGTTTTACTTATAATTAATATTTATTTTTATTTTATTTTTATCGATTAGTAAATGGAAACGCCTACTAAACTACTGGTCCTCTCGTAATGTTAGCGGTCCGAAACCGTTACCGATTTTCGGTAATTTATTGGCAAAATTTTTCATACCTAAACCCCAACTGGAATTGCAATGGTATCGACAGTTTGGACGACTATACGGGTATTTATTTAGTAGTTATAATAATAATTAATAATATTTTAACTAAATTTTATTCTCATATATATTATATATCAATAGATTGTATATAAATTATAATTATTGTACAAAAAAAAAACAATCCGATTATTTGTGAATTAATTAATTAATTATTTATAATAATAATAATTAATAACATTTTGACAAATTTTTTTTTCTTATATATCATATATCAATAAATTTTAAATATAAATTATAATTACTGTATAAAAAAACAAACCTATTATTCGGGTATTTATTTATTAGTTATAATAATAATAATAACATTATAAACTAAAAATTTTTATTTATTGTCATATTATATAATATATTAATAATAATAATTATTATTATTATTACAAACACTACTAAAACAGGACATACACTGGCGATAAACCTGACCTAACCGTTGCCCAACCGGATCTCATCAAACAAATACTGGTCAAAGATTTTCACCGATTTCGCAATCGTCGGGATAACGGCAGTTCCCGATCCAATGAACCGATAGCCAAAAATATGTTTAGCTCGCGGGACGACACGTGGAAACGTATCCGTGCCATAGCATCGCCAACGTTTACTTCGGGGAAACTGCGCAAACTTTATCCACTGATTGGCCAGTGTTGCGATGATTTTATCGGACATTTGGATGGTATGGTCAATAACCAACGGGACAGTAGTGGTCGTATTGAATTGAAAAAACTAATGGGCCAATTGACTATGGATGTTATAGCCCGGTGCGCATTCGCTACCAAACCCAATACATATACCGATCAGGCCGATAGCGACCAGTTTACCCGATCGGCAAACAGTATATTCGCGATACCCGTCTGGCGATTAGTATTGCTGACTGTATTGCCGACCCGTGTCTGGCATTGGCTAACGTTTATTAGTCGACGACTATTACGCGCAGCCGTCGGTAGTGATACGGCTGGTCCCGAGTTTTTTGTCCAATTGGGCCGCAAATTGATGGCCGAACGGCGCCACAATCAGGTCAAACACAACGATTTTTTGCAACTACTGATGGATGTCGAGCACAACAACACCAATAATAATAATTCAAACAGTGTTAAGCACCGGGAGTCTAGCGACCAGTACGAAGCACATCACGTCAATGAAGACGATACCGATCAACTCCAGGCCAATCAGGAAGCCCTGAGCCATGTATTGGCCAAACGGCTGACTGAGGACGAAATCCTTGGCCAATGTTTCCTGTTTTTCATTGCCGGCTACGAAACAACTGCCACAACACTAGCCTTCTGTACGTATGAGTTGGCATTGAATCCCCGACTACAGGACAGGCTATACGATGAGATTAACGGTGCGATCCACGAAAACAATGGCCAACCAATAGATTACGAACAACTAGCGAGTCTACCGTTTCTCGATTCGCTAATCGCGGAAACATTGCGAAAATATCCGTTATTTTTGCGTTTAGAACGGGAGGCCATGGATGACATACAACTGGGCGATGACGACAGCACTGGTATTCAAGTGGAAAAGGGAACCGTATGCGAGATACCGGTCTATGCTATACATCACGATCCCCAGTACTATCCTGAACCCGACCGATTCAATCCCGATCGGTTTATGCCCGCCAATCGTCCGCTAATCAAACCCTATACATACCTGCCGTTTGGTTCGGGTCCCAGAAATTGTATTGGTATGCGATTTGCATTGTTAGAGTCAAAGCTAACGTTGGCTAAACTGTCCAAACGTTACCGATTCAGACGACTACCCGCCGAAACCGATGTCCCCGTTGTCTACAATAAAGGTATTGATTTTTTACAATCCCGACGGCTAGTGGTTGGCATTGAAAAACGGGACGAGAATTAAATAATAATCAATTAATTAGTAATTTAATTATATATCAAATATAAACAAATATTAATAAACTATTTTATTATTTTTAAGTAAAATTATATTTAAACGGGACGGGATCTAAATATAAACATATATATATATATTTTTAGGCAACTAATTATTATCTATGCAATCTATTTTCTACTATTAATATGATATTTATAGCATTCTCAACTGGTTCTATTCATTGCTGGCTCAATATTTATAGTCAATTTTAATAAAATATTTTAATAATATCTATAATACTAGTAATAATACTTATTATGATTTAGCATTAGCCGACCGGTATGTTTAACCTGAAACTGGTATAACTATTCCAGTGTTAGGTCCCGGGTGCATGTATTGACGGTTCCGGGAGTAGCGGCACTACTATATATGATCTTTGTGGTGCTGGCCTACAGCCGGCAAGTCGGCTATCACTGGTATACCAAGTGATTGGATATGACGGGCCGGCCCTAAACCCGACTGCATCAGTAGTCTGTATGTCTGTATGTCTGTATGTCTGTATGTCTGTATGTCTGTATGTCTGTATGTCTGTATGTCTGTATGTCTGTATGTCTGTATGTCTGTATGTCTGTATGTCTGTATGTCTGTATGTCTGTATGTCTGTATGTCTGTATGTCTGTATGTCTGTATGTCTGTATGTCTGTATGTCTGTATGTCTGTATGTCTGTATGTCTGTATGTCTGTATGTCTGTATGTCTGTATGTCTGTATGTCTGTATGTCTGTATGTCTGTATGTCTGTATGTCTGTATGTCTGTATGTCTGTATGTCTGTATGTGTATGTTTGAGACTATAATATTCAACTCACAAATTAAAAAAAAGTGGACCGGAATAATTTATCCTGGTCAGATAAATGGCATATTCACATTAAAAAAATTTATGTGTGCAAGTTATGTTTAAAAAAAATAAAAATGATATACTTATATTAGATCATATTAATGATGATCATAAAAAGTTAAATTTAAAAAAATGCTTATAAATATATGTAAAAATATGGATTTTTCAACCCTTATCCATAAAATAGGTAAGTTTCATTTAATTATTTTATAAATTTTTTTATTTAAATCAATTTTAGGTCCTAAAGTACTAAGGAATAAACAACAAATGATTATAATAAAATTTAAAAATTTTGACAATTTAAAAAGTTTAGATTATATATAAAAGAAATATTCAATTAAATTTCTATAGTATTAGACATCAGTGTATCCACGTATAACCGGAGCCAAAAGATACCCAATACCAATCTGTACATGAACAGTTCCACAATTGTATAATACTAAAGGGCCCTCCAGAATTGCCCAAGAAAATATTTATATTTGTTTAAAAATTAATATTTAGCATAATTAAAAATAAAATTAAATAAAAACTCTTACCTGACAGGCATCGCTTTGCACAAATCATGCTTTTTGAAATTTTTTTTTTGAAATTTCTTTCATAAGTTTGTTGACAATCCTTGTTACTTAGAATAGATACATTTGTTACCATGTAAATTCTAAATTCTAAATTAATAAAAGGTGACCCGGATAAATTATCATGGTCAGATAAATGGCAAGGTTTTTCATAAAAAAATTTATATTTTTGAATTGTGTTTCAAAAATAAATGAAAACTGATTTTATTGGAATATTGATCATATAAAAAAAGTTTTTTTTTTAAATTCTGGAAAATATATTGAATAAAATTGTTTTTTCAACCTTTATCTGTAAAATAGGTAAGCTATTTTATTTAATTATATTTTAAGTATTTTTTAAATATTTATTTTATTATAAAATTAGTCAATTGTCTTGAAATTGGCAGAAATATACAACACGACTAAACAATCTAACTAGGCGACCCCAATACCCGAAACGATAAATATATTACCTGTTTTTTGATTGATAGTGGTTTGTAGTCAATTCGATTGGCCATAAATCTACCATTAATTTAGCTGTATATCCTCTTTAAGTGTCAAGACTAAAGCTAAATCAGTTTCATGTGTTTTCGGGTCATATGATCCATGAAATCATTTCAATAGCAATTTCATTCCCACTATATCTGTGCCATAGTATATTGTATCTTGAATAATTATTTTATTATTATTATTATTATTATTATTTAATATAAAAATACATACATAGATACAATGAGCCGCTGTTAATATAGTTATACTGTCCAATATTCTCCCACAATACACAAATTTTTTACATTTTAAAATTTACCTATACTTTATATATTTATGGTATTTGTCCAATTAGCGATTTTTTGCCATTTACAATTTTTATATTGCAAATTGAAAAGGTATAATACTTGAAATTAAAGCAAAAATAATAAAAAGTATCTGATAAAAATTAATTTAATCATTTTTTACTATTTGTAATAATATAAAAATTTATAAGTTTATAAGTTTATATTTATAACAATATTAAACCTAAAGCTAATTTATTAGTATTTTTCTTATTATTTATACTTTTTAATTTATTTTAATTAAATTTTTTATAGACTTGAACAGTTCCACAATTCCACAATACTTGGGGGCCCTCCCGAATCGCCAAAGTAAACATTTAAATTTGATAAAAAATTAATATTTAGCATAATTAAAAATAAATTTAAAAACTTTTACCTGACAGGCATCGTTTTCCTCCATCAATAATGTTATTTGCACAAATCATGTTTTTTTTTAATTTTTTTGGAAATTTCTTTCCTAAGTTTGTTGACAATTATCTTTGTTACTTTGCAACTGATACATTTGTTACCATTACTCTAGTCGGGAACATCACCTAAACGTCATCTAACTAAGCGACCCCGACACTGAAACGGTTAATATAGTACCTGTTTTTTTTGCTTGATAGTGGTTTTTGAAGTTAATTCGATTGGCCATGAATGTACCACATTTAGCTGTATATCCTTTTTAAAGTGTCATGATTGTATATTGAATAAATTTTATTATTTTTATTATGATATTAAATATAAAAATTTATACATGTAGAGAAATACAATGAGCCGCTATTAATACAGTTATACTGTCCAATATTCTCCCCCCATACACACATTTTCTATATTTTAAAATTCACCTTACCAGATATATGGTATATGTCCAATTAGCGATTTTTGCCCATTTACATTTTCTATATTGTAAATTAAAAGGTATAATTTTACTTGAAATTAAAGCAAAAATTATAAATACTAATTTAATCATTTTTTACTATTTGTAATAATATAACAATTTATAAGTTTATATTTATAAAAATATTAAACCTAAAACTATAATAATTTATTAGTATTTTTCTTATTATTTATATTTTTTTTAATTTCTTTTAATTCAATTTTTTTTCTGTATAGACAATTATTTTGACAGTTTTATTGTATATAATTTATAATTTTTAGTAAATATATTTAAGTTATAATTATAATATATTTAACATTTATTATTAACATTACAAAAACTGAAGTATTAGTTTTATAAATAGACATTATACTAAATAAATACTAAATAATAATTTATTAAATATTTAAAAAACAAAAACTGTAAATTTCATATATTTCTTAATTAAAATGAATAGATATATTTAATAGATAAGTGTAATTTAAATTAATAAATATATAATTTTTAATATAATACAATTTAATTTATTTTCAAACTAATATTTTTTAGTTATATATCTTTTATTTAATTTAAATTATTTGTTTATTATTATAAATATTTTATACTAGATTTAATTAGTTTTTTTTATTATAATTATAATTAAAATATTAAATTTGTTTTTAAATTTTTATTTAATTTTTTTTATATACAGTAATATTCATTAAAATATTGTAATAATAATAATCATAATAAATGTTTTTTCACATAAAAAATAATTTTTTTTTGCAATTCATTTTGTATTATTATTGTTTTATTTAATAAAATATATAAATATATTATTTTATTGAAAACTAATACTAATTGTAATATAATTATAAAAAAAATTAAATATAACATTCAGCTATATCTACTAAAAAAATAATTTTAAAAAAATTGCAAATTAGAAAATAATTTTTTTTATTTATTTAATATTTTAAACACAAAATTTTTTATAATTAAAAAATAATTATAAATTTAGGAAAAAAAATTTATTGAATWAATATCTTCAAATTTGTTATACATTTTACAATAAAATATATATATATAAATATTTTATTTTATTTATTCMTATATTATTAAAATTAATAAATAAATTAATTAATTTATATGATTTAGTAAATATTATTATTCAAAAAAAACTATTAATATTTAAWATTACAATTTTTTAACTATTATTTTTCTAGAAATTATTATTATTATTATTGTAAATAAGTTTTCTTATAGCCGGCACCTCTARCTTTGCCACCRTTTGCCTCCCTTTCCCCATTTGCCTCCCTTTCCCCGTTTGCCGGCCGTAAAATTTTTTAACAAATTAAATAWCTAAMAAAATATAATTATTATTATTATTATCACAACAACAACAACAACATTAACAAACCTTAGCTAATATGCCTGACTTAGCACCGGTAGCTCCGATTTGTTTACCACCAGCTACTACCTTGGCTACCGATTTTCTACCACCTGGACCTAAACTACCGGCACCCGATTTGGCTGCATTGKCAACGRCAGTACCGCTGCTGCTACTACTACACCATCAGCACCAGCACCGGTATCTTTAGTATCGGCCAATTGAAGCTCCTGTTGGTGTTGTTGTTCATCGTTGGCCGAACCGTCCACCAGATCGCCGGTGTCGTAGTTGTCTAACCCATACACCTGAGCACTGGTAGTATACGTAATACTRGTGGTCGAGGACAGGGATAATAGTTGGCCGATGAYCAGTGCCATCAAAAATAACTTTTTTTTATTACAAAATAATTATTTAAAATTAAATTATTATTATATATATATATATTTTTAAACATATTATATCAGTTTTTTRTGTTAGTTACCAATTTGTTATCCATATTATATGTATTGAAATATATATACTGTATATATATAACTATTTATTTTACACACAAAATATTTATAATAAATTTAAATTATTTTAAAAWTATAATTATTATAAWTTAGTTATATATTGATATATCAATAATATATGTTAATATCAATTGAGATTTTAGCTCATATTTATATATACAGTATATATATAGTAATGTTAAACAATATATATATATAWATGTAATGTAATTATTGTTTATATTTCTATATATATATATATAAAATAAAATAATCWAAACTTCCAGTTGATTGAAATCATTGAAAAATTAAATTAAAAACAATTATTTTTTTTTTTTTTTTTAAATATTATAGGATGAAATTTACAACAACAATATATACAACAATTTTATTTAGTTATTTTTTTAGGCTATTAGTTATCATAAATTAGTTATTTTTACTATTGTTATTAATAAATGATTTAATAATAATGTTTTGTTTTTGTTTTTTTTKGTACTATTAATAGATAACTGTTTCAACACTTACAATACAAATCAATATAACATATCAAATATTTTTTGAAAACTTTTTTTTTTTTAATTTTTAGTTWTAAGTKATTTTTTGATTGAATGAAAGAGAGAGAGAGAGAGAGAGAGAGAGAGAGAGAGAGAGAGAGAGAGAGAGAGAGAGAGTTTCAATACAATAAACACAGGATATGATTGTTTTTATTAAATTAAAAATAATATTGCAATTAATTTAAAAATAATAATAATAATAATAGATCTAATTTATAACTAATTAACACAATATATATTATAAATAAATATATATAATATTATTGATAATTTATAATATAATATTACAATTTTGTTACTCCAGTAAAAAATACTATATATATATATATATATATATATATATATATATATAACTATTTAATTATAATATTATATTAAATTTTTATATTATTAAATATTACATATTAAATGTATTAATTTACTACTAATTATTAATAACAACATATTGTAGTATATACGTCAATAATATACGTAAATAATAAATTTAATAATAAAAAAATATTACAATTTAATAAATAATTTAATAAACATTTATTAATTGCAACAGTAATTGAAATATTTAAAAAAATTTTGAATTATTTGTAAATAAGATTAATTTTTTTTTAAAAATATTTAAATTGCAATATTATTATTATTATATTAATTTTTAGTATTTATAGTAAATATATAGTTAATTTATAAACATTATTAACTAATTGTATAAAATAAGTAGAAAAAATAACATTATATATTATTTTTAAATTTTATTATATTTATTATATTAAATTTATTATAAATTAAAAAAATTAATAACATATTATTTAATTATGATTATTAATTTATTTATTTATAAAAAAATAGTTATAATTTACTTACCTTTTTAATTTTGATTAGTAATAAATATAAATTAAATTTTTGAACATTTTAAAAATTAAAATTAAATTTTATTTTTTTTTATTGACAACATTTTAATATCACAATTATTATTATTTGTAAAATATATTATAAACTTTATATAAAATAAATTATAGTATTTTATTTATAGACTATTATTAAACATTTAATTAACACTTTTATGTTTTTATAATTAAAATAATAATAATAATAATAGATTTGATTAATTGTTTAACCAATTAGTCCACCGGCGGCTCCTTTGAAACCTTTAGCACCACTGGCCGCGGCTCCGGCAGCTCCCGTTTTTTTGCCGGCAGCTTTTCCGGCCGCAAATCCCTTTTTACCGGCAGCCGCGGCACCGGCAGCTGCGCCTCCTTTAGAGAAACCTGCTTTGCCAGCCTTGCCAGCTGCAGCACCGGCAGCTCCAGCCCAGCCACCCTTTTTACCGGCAGCACCAGCGGCACCACCCTTGGCATAGGCACCGCCAGCCTTACCAAACTTGAATCCCTGTGCCGTACCGTAAGTGCTGTACATATATATATATATATATATATTAGAGATTTTAATAATTATTAGTATTATTAGTATTATTCTAATACTTACGCAACTTTGCCGTAGGCTTTGTTATAGCCGGCACCTCCAGCTTTGCCAAATTTACTAGCCTTTCCCCATTTGCTACCCTTTTTGCCGGCCGCACCAAATGCCTAATAAATATAATAATAATATATTATATATAAAAATTTATTGATGTATTGAAATAACAAACCTTAGCTACTTTGCCTGACTTAGCACCGGCTGCTCCCGAAACGGCACCGGCAGCTCCGGCCTTTTTACCGCCAGCCGCTAACTTGAATGCTGCCCCACCAGCGGCTCCCGCTTTGGCACCGGTAGCGAAACCACCCGTTTTGGCACCTTTAGCAACGGCAGCACCGGCTGTTACAGCACCAGCACCTTTAGTTTCGGCCACTTGAAGCCACTCCAGTTGTTTATCGGTTTCATCGCCATCTAATCCTTCATACTGTTGAGCACTGGCATACGTTTTGGTGGACAGGGATGATAATAGTGGGCCGACCAGTGCCACCAAAAATAACTATTTTTATTTGAAAAACATTTTATTTAATATATAAATAAATATTTTTTATAAATTATAACTATATATTAAATTATAAATAAAACATATTATAAAAATAGTTACCAATTTGTAATCCATATTAATATATTAAATGTTGAAATATATATATAATACACAAAATTTATTTTTATATTTATAAATAAAATAAATAAATAATTTATTTGTTTAGAAAATAATTTACTAAAAAAAATTGTTTAATATTTAATATTTTATTATTACTGATATTTGTCTCATATTTATATATAAAAATTTTTTTAATAAATTATATAATTTTGTCAAAAAGTTAAGTAAAAAATAAATAAATAAATAAATATCTGATATGTATTTCCACTTTTTTTAAAAAAAACTTCCCATTTGTCTAAAGTCATTGAAAAAATAGACAAAATCAAAAAACTATTGGACGGAACTTACAAATAAAAAATACCTGTAAATTACAAAACATTAATATTTTTTTAAAAATATATACTAATTATAATTATTTTTTGTTGTTATAAATTATTTTTTTGTGTTATTATTTTTTTTTGTTATTGAATTATAAGGCATACATCTATCGACATTGAACCTGAACTTATACCCCTACCTACCCCTACCCCCCCCCCCGATTGATACTAACTAATTGTCTATTATTAATATTATTGTGTGGGGACAGTTAGATAGACTAACTAATTGTAAAATAATCAATTTCTATAATAATAATAGACATGTTAAATGTTTGGCTTATATTATATAATAATATGTTTGCTATACTACTAGTATACTGTCTATCTATAGTATATAGATAGGGGGCCGGGTAGTTCCCAGCACCCGGTATAGATAAGGCACTTTCTTATACAGTTTATATATAGAGCACCTGTAGTTTTCTAGCATACTGTCTATGTTTTTTTGTTGTTATTTGTATAGTTAAAAAAATTTTATAATAAAACAAACTGTTTATATTAATGATTAAAAAAATATTATTTATTTATTTATTTTTTAAGTATAGTTATAGTAATTTATAAAATAATATTAAATATTATAACATAAATTAATTTCTATTTTAAACTGAGATTTAATAGCGATATTTGATAGTAAATAAATTTAATAAATTTTATATAAAATTAATGTATTTATTAAAAAAAATAGTTTTTATTATTTAATATTTAATAATAATTATATAATAATTATAAAAATATGCATAATTTGAAATTAATTTAAAATCAATTAGTTTATTGATAGTAAATGTTTTATAGTTTGAAAATTATTTTTATATTATTTTATTGTAAATTAATTTTTTTTCTAGATATCATTTGTAACTAAAATAAACTTGAAATTGAATTTTTTTTAAATTTATTTATTAATATCTAAAAATAATAATTATAAAATATAAATTAATTTTTTTAATTGATAGAAAAATATAATACATATATAAATTTGATTTTTTTTTATTTATTTAGACTGTAATTAAACATTAAAAAAAACATATATAAATATATTTAATTTACAATAAAGATATATATAATAATAATAATAATATATTTTTTAAAATCATTTAACCAATTAGTCCACCGGCGGCTCCTTTGAAACCTTTAGCACCGGCCGCGGCTCCGGCAGCGCCCGCTTTTTTGCCGGCAGCTTTTCCGGCCGCAAATCCCTTTTTACCGGCGGCCGCGGCACCAGCAGCTGCGCCTCCCTTAGAGAAACCTGCTTTGCCAGCCTTGCCAGCTGCAGCACCGGCAGCTCCAGCCCAGCCACCCTTTTTACCGGCAGCACCAGCGGCACCACCCTTGGCATAGGCACCGCCAGCCTTACCAAACTTGAATCCCTGTGCCGTACCGAAAGTGCTGTACATATATATATTAGAGATATAATTAATTATAATTATTACTATTATTACTATTATTAGTACTATTAATACTTACGCAACTTTGCCGTAGGCTTTGTTATAGCCGGCACCTCCAGCTTTGCCAAATTTACTAGCCTTTCCCCATTTGGCACCCTTTTTGCCGGCCGCACCAAATGCCTAATAATAATAATAAGATTTTATATAACATCTATTGATATATTGAAATAACAAACCTTAGCTACTTTGCCTGACTTAGCACCGGCTGCTCCCGAAACGGCACCGGCAGCTCCGGCTTTTTTACCGCCAGCTGCCAACTTGAATGCTGCCCCACCCTCAGCTCCCGCTTTGGCACCGGTAGCGAAACCACCCGATTTGGCACCTTTAGCAACGGCAGCACCGGCTGCTACAGAAGCACCGGTACCTTTAGTTTCGGCCACTTCTAGCTCCTGTTCATCGCTGTCGTCTAACCCATACTCTTGAGCACTGGTATGTGTAGTGATGGTGGACAGGGATAAGAGGCCGACCAGTGCCACAAAAAATAACTATTATATATATATTATTAGTTAAAATAATATAAAAAAAATATTTAACATATTATATACCTGTTTGCTATTCATATTAATTTTGTTGAAATATATATAACTATTTTTTTACACTAAAAAAATTTTTAAAGTAAAATATTATATAAATAAATAATTAACAGTTTTTTATTTACTTATTTATAAAAATATATTTATTTATATATTTATAATATTTTGTTAAAACTGAGATTTTTTACACCTATTTATATACAAAAGAAAATAATTTTCAGACAAATGTATATCCAGTGAAAGTCATTGAAAAAAATTACATATTTTTTTATTATAGACGAAACTTCCGTAAAATACCTGTAAATTAAAAAAAACACAAAAAATTTTAGATATTTTTAACTAAAAAACCATAATATCCTTGGTGACTAACTAATTGTAAAATAATCAATTTGTATAATAATAATAGACATGTTAAATGTTTGGCTTATATTATATAATATATTTTGCTATAATACTAGTATACTGTCTATCTATAGTATATAGATAGGGGGCCGGGTAGTGCCAAGCACTCGGTATAGCTTGGTCAATTTGTTATACAATATATATATATAGAGCACCTGTAGTTGTCTAGCATACTGTCTATTTTTTTGTTGTTTGTATAGTTAAAAAAATTAATAGTTTATAATAAAACAAACTATTTATATTAATGATTAAAAAATATTTATTTATATTTTAGTATAGTTATAGTAATTTATAAAAAAAATATTAAATATTATCATATAATATTAATTTATACTTTTAAGTGACATTTAATATAATATTTAAAGTAAATTATTTATTAAAATCTATTTATTATTTTCTAGAAATTATTTTATAACTAATAATAAATTATATTAACTAAAAATATAATCAAAATATAATAAATTTATATATAAAATCAATGTATTTATAAAAAAAATAGTTTTTATTATTTAATATTTAATAATAAAAATATAATAATTGTATATAATGCATATATTGAAATTAATTTAAAATCAATTATTTTATTGATAGTAAGTGTTTTATAGTTTGAAAATTATTATTATATTATTTTATTGTAAATTAATTTTTTTTCTAAATATAATTTGTAACTAAAATAAACTTGAAATTGATTTTTTTTAAATTTATTTATTAATATTTAAAAATAATAATTATAAAATATAAATTAATTTTTTTATTGATAGAATAATATAATACATATATAAATTTGATTTATTTTTTATTTATTTAGACTGTAATTAAACATTTTTAATATATATATATAAATATATTTAATTTACAATAAGGTTTTATTTAATAATATAAATAATAATATATTTTTAAAAATTATTTAACCAATTAGTCCACCGGCGGCTCCTTTGAAACCCTTAGTACTGGCCGCGGCTCCGGCAGCTCCCGCTTTTTTGCCGGCAGCTTTTCCGGCAGCAAATACCTTTTTACCGACAGCCGCGGCACCGGCAGCTGCGCCTCCCTTTGAGAAACCCGTTTTGCCAGTCTTACCAGCTGCAGCACCGGCAGCTCCAGCCCAACCACCTTTTTTACCGGCAGCACCAGCGGCACCACTCTTGGCATAGGCACCGCCAGCCTTACCAAACTTGAATCCCTGTGCCGTACCGAAAGTGCTGTACATATATATATATATATATATATTAGAGATTTTAATAATTATTAGTATTATTAGTATTATTCTAATACTTACGCAACTTTGCCGTAGGCTTTGTTATAGCCGGCACCTCCAGCTTTGCCAAATTTACTAGCCTTTCCCCATTTGGCACCCTTTTTGCCGGCCGCACCAAATGCCTAACATTAATAATAATAATAATAATATTTTATATAACATCTATTGATATAATAGTTATCACAACAACAACAGCAAACAAACCTTAGCTACTTTGCCTGACTTAGCACCGGCTGCTCCCGAAACGGCACCGGCAGCTCCGGCCTTTTTACCGCCAGCTGCCAACTTGAATGCTGCCCCACCCGCGGCTCCCGCTTTGGCACCGGTAGCGAAACCACCCGTTTTAGCACCTTTAGCAACGGCAGCACCGGCTGCTACAGCACCGGTACCTTTAGTTTCGGCCACTTGAAGCCACTCCAGTTGTTTATCGGTTTCATCGCCATTTAATCCTTCATACTGTTGAGCACTGGTATACGTTTTGGTGGACAGGGATGATAATAGTGGGCCGACCAGTGCCACCAAAAATAACTATTTTTATTTGAAAAACATTTTATTTAATATATAAATAAATATTTTTTATAAATTATAACTATATATTAAATTATAAATAAAACATATTATAAAAATAGTTACCAATTTGTAATCCATATTAATATATTAAATGTTGAAATATATATATAATACACAAAATTTATTTTTATATTTATAAATAAAATAAATAAATAATTTATTTGTTTAGAAAATAATTTACTAAAAAAAATTGTTTAATATTTAATATTTTATTATTACAGATATTTGTCTCCTATTTATATATAAAAAAAATTTATATAAATTATATAATTTTGGCAAAAAGTTAAGTAAAAAATAAATACATAAATAAATATCTGATATGTATTTCCACTTTTTTTTAAAAAAAAACTTCCCATTTGTCTAAAGTCATTGAAAAAATAGACAAAATCAAAAAACTATTGGACGGAACTTACAAATAAAAAATACCTGTAAATTACAA